GAAGATACTAAATAGTACCGGTCCCAATAGGGACGCCTGTGGGACACCACTCGTCACCGACCTCCATCTGGACATTGAGTCATTGACCACTACCCTCTGGATGCGACCATCCAATCAGTTCCTCACCCACCGCACAGTCCACCCCCCATCAGATCCATACCTCTGTAGTTTAGAGAGAAGGATGTTGTGGGGGACCATGTCAAAGGCCTTACAGAGGTCCCGACAGACGACATCGGTAGCCCTTCCCATGTCCACTGGTGTAGTCACTCCATCATAGAAGGCCACTAGGTTGGTCAGGCAGGACTTGCCCTTGGTGAAGCCATGCTGGCTGTCTCGAATCACCTCCCTGTCCTCCATGTGCCTTAGCATAGCTATAAATAAAATTTATGGGAAGGGCCTGGTGCGCGTCCAGAGTCGGCGCCACGCACATGCGCGTGCTGGTGGTGCGCGGAGCCTTGTCGAGCAGTGGTGTGTGCCCAGCTCCGCTTCACGCCCCAGCCCAACCGATCCAGCCCTTAGAGCCAATCCTTATCCTGAAGTTATGGATCCGGCTTGCCGACTTCCCTTAGCTTCATTGTTCCAACATGCCAGAGGCTGTTCACCTTGGAGACCTGTTGCGGCTATGGGTACAGCCCAACATGAGACTTACACCCCCTCCCCTGGATTTTCACGGGCCAGCGAGAGCTCACCGGACACCGCCAGAACTGTGACGCTTTCCAACACGTACCATTGCCCTTATATAATTGTGACTTTTCATCACCAGGAGGGGCTGTTGGATGTGGAAAAGCTGGAGTGTGAAGATGAGCTGACTGGCACAGAAATCAGCTGCTTACGCCTGAAAGGGCAAATGATCTACTTGCCTGAAGCAGACAGCATTCTCTTTCTTTGTTCACCAAGGTACTTTAATCCTTAAGAGTTTTATAATATTGATTTTCATTTTACAGTTACTAATTTTAAGAACACTTATGAGAGTAGTACTACAGAGATTAATTGGTTCAAGTATTGATTTCATTGATTTTGATGTGTTTATACTAAAAGAGGGAGGAGCATTTAAACATTGGAACTTGACTGATTATTAAATAATTCAATATAAATATTGGGATGCTCCGGCCTAGTTTGTACAAATGGGAATTCCTCATGATTCCATGATTTTTGGCAAGTTTTGTCCTGTGTTTTTTACTCTGAGGTGCTAAGAAATGTCACAATGATTTGGTTTCCTATGCAGATTCATATATTTTTGCGGTAGTTTTAATGTAATAGAACAGTGATGATTATAAAGACGTGGTTGGAATGGGGGATTGAATGGAGGGCTTCGTTAGCTAAGAGCATGTTGAGCTAACACATCAGATTATACAGTTATGATATGTTAATCTCCTGTGTGAAAGAGAGAGAGTGGATGAAGACAGAAAAGGAAGAGGCTACCTTAATGTAATCTTACTTTTATTTGTGTACTGAAGTGTGTACCTTTGGTATGTTCACAGAACTCATCAATAAGAATTCTGTATTTAATGCAAAAACCAAGAGCCATGTGTTAACATGAATGAACACAAATAAGGTATTTTGTAGAAGGGATATGTTGTACAGCTCATCACAAGTTCAGAAGCATAATCTTTCTTCTATTATTCAGCAGCCTCTGCTGTTCATTTGAGTTTTGAATGCTCCTTTGGCACGTTTAATTGCACCCATATTATTATATATTTCTCCACATTGCAGTGTGATGAACTTGGATGATTTAACCAGAAGAGGTTTATATCTGAGTGATATTCCATTGCATGATGCTACCCGTGATCTGGTTCTTTTGGGAGAGCAGTTCAGAGAGGAATATAAATTGACTCAAGAGCTTGAGATCCTCACTGACAGACTGCAGCACACACTGCGAGCACTAGAAGACGAAAAGAAAAAGACAGACACGTAAGAACCAAATCCTGATTTTGAGCTGAAACAGTCACAGCAATGTATTATTTATAGCTACCTTCTTCAAAAAATAACAGAATCTTGGAAAGAATATAAGAGATATTCAGGGCTGATAATTTTGAAGTCAAGAAAGAACATTTTACTTTAATGCCTCATGAGGTATTTCTTTATTTAGATTGTCAAATATCATCTGCAGTCTAAGCTGTTACATGCACAGGTGTTTTGATGGCTCCTTCCCTGATAAGGAAAGTTACGAGAAGTGAACTGACAATCCTTTTTGCTTTGTGAATTACCTAAAACAGTAGTTTTGCAAACTTTCTTACATGCAGTCCCTGTAACCAAGATGAATCTGATGAATGCCCAAATGCTACTGTTTGACAGAGTTCTGTAAACCAGCTGTAGATCACTTTGTCTTTCTGGACTGCCATGCTCACAGGTTAATAGAACAGAAAAATGTATCTTACAAGCCTTGAAAATAGTCTATGTAAAGGTGAAGTTTTGCAATAGGCTAATGCTATGAATTGAATTTTATAGTTACCTGTAGAAATGGATTTGGGGCTATCTAGATGATACTATGCAGGTAAATTAAACGGAAGTTTGTGTGACAGGCAGTGTGGGGTTGATGGTTGACTCTCATTTATAGAACATAGTTCCCATTTCTGTAATAGAGGAAATTCTTGTGGATTACACTTGTTTACTGGTAGAATTAACATTTGTTGTGCTATGAATTCTATTGACAGATTTTTTTTTCTGTGGTAGAGTAATGGAAGTTACTATAAAAGGACTTGAAAGGGATGGATGGAAGAGTCAGACAGAAAAGAAGCCTAAAAAATATTTTTCCTATTCACTCCTGTTGACTTGCTTTATAAAGCCATTTACCTTCAGGAATTCTAGCCGCCTTGGCAGCCGCTGGAACAGTGTCAGTTACTATATCATGTGGCAAAATTATTCACTAATTATGACTCATGCAGTAGTGAACTTGCCAAAAATGCAACTAATGAAGGTTTGTGCAGGCGACTGTGTACAAAATTATGCTCAAGATTTGTGAAACAGTCAGAGATCTTCAGCTTGCCCACTTAGCTGTGTAAGGAGGGAAATACACCTTAAGATGGCAGTTAGAAAGTTGAAGGAATGCACATGAGAGTAGGGTGAAGCTCTCTGTGTGTGATTTGGATTTTATTTCATAATTTGTAATATGAACAAGTGTTAATATGTCATATAGACTATTAATTAAAAAAACGTGCAATAAACCCTAAGAACAGCATTCTCAACAGAAGAGGAAGCATTTAGCAATGCATGAATTGATCAAAGGTGGAAAACCGTTTCATCTCTTCATGGCCTTTTTTGTAGTTTTTATGGTTCTGTGAGCAAAACCAGATTATATGAGCTGAGGATATGGCAGAAATGCTTAAGCAATAAGGAAAAATGATCCAAGACACTATTAACAGATCACGTCAGAAGAATTAGTAATATATGCCTCATTTTGTTGGTAATTTAGATGTATTAATGTGTGTTTAAAATGTCATGGCTTTAGGTATGCTGATGTAGATCAGTTCATGTTTCCCAAATAACATATTCTTCAGTAAACATCTTTTATATTGCTCTTTGATGATGCAAGTATGTTATGAACCCTATGGGAGGTACCAAGTTAATATTTGAAGAGTGCTGGTGTAAAGGCCATTCTCTACATTCTTTCTGTTTTGCTTGTGCCTTTCTTTTCTTACGCGTTTAGATTACTGTACTCTGTTCTACCACCATCAGTGGCAAATGAGCTGAGACACAAGCGTCCTGTTCCAGCTAAGCGGTATGACAATGTGACCATTCTTTTCAGTGGCATTGTTGGATTCAATGCCTTTTGTAGTAAACATGCCTCTGGAGAGGGAGCCATGAAGATTGTTAATCTTTTAAATGATCTTTACACGAGATTTGATATTCTGACTGATTCACGAAGGAATCCATTTGTTTATAAGGTAAGCAGAAGTTTTTCAAAGTATTTAATCTGTGACTTTTCAATAATTTACTATTATGTCACTCTTTTCCATCCTTTCGATTTTAGGCTTTTTTGAAAAAAGAGTTATGTTCTCAGTCTTTGAACTGTGTTACCTGATAGCTAAAGAAGAGTATGTTGTTTATGTCTAAATGTGTGAAGGAAGGAACATAAAGGGCTTAGTTCTCAGCAGGATTTCTGCACAGTCACCCATTAGGTGGATATATAAATCTACTTCCACGTTTAGCAGATGTGAACACTTATACAAGCAGTTTGTGGTTCTGCTGACCCTGTGCTTTTAAGTTTTTCAGTCATATACCTGGTTCTCCTGGTTGTAAATTATAACTTATTATTCAGTTATTCAATGTGAATTTCATTCTTTCATTAGGAATGAGGTGTAGCTGCAGATGCAGCTGGTAGTAGGTAGATAGGGAGAGAGAGAGACAGAGAGAGATATCCCATATGTATGTGTATGCTTGCGTGTTTATATGTGTAAGATTCATTCCTAGCTTTTACTAGAAATCAATTTTTTGTCCTGTACCAAGTGAATCAGGGGTGTGAGTCAAAATAAACGTAGTGCTCGGTTTCTACAGAAATTCAGAAGACCCCAAAAGAGAGGATCAAGTTCACACAATCACAGTGTCATTTTAATTTGTTACATTGTGGGCATACAATAAATTCTCTTCAGTAACAAGCAGAGATGATGGGAATTAGGGTGATTTGAATGAAAGTGAAGGGAAACTATTTGGAAGGACAAGCAGTCTTGAGGGAAGCACTATGTCTATTCTAGTACTCTAAAGCCCACGATAGTAAAGTAATTGAAAAATATGTATCTTGATAGGTGGAAACAGTTGGGGACAAGTATATGACAGTGAGTGGTCTACCAGAGCCTTGCATTCATCATGCACGATCTATCTGCCACCTGGCATTGGATATGATGGAAATAGCAGGCCAAGTTCAAGTAGATGGTGAGCCTGTACAGGTTAGTAAATGTGTGGGCTTGAATGAAGAGCCCATTCTTTGATATGATGATAATGCTTTGAAATATGATAATGCTCAAGTCCCAGCCCATGCAAGCTTTGTTATTGTTACATTTTGAGACTGATATCTACCAATAATATGAAAAGTCATATGTAGATGTGACATGTGCGGTTCCCAGACCTTAAAATCTAATTATTGTGCTTAACCTTTTAAAGGACTAAATTAGGTCTGCATCATTTATGTCTGTTTTCTGATAGTTTCAATCTAATCAACAAATTCCCATAGTTCATCAAGTACAATTCATTGAGTCTTCTTCATCTCAATGAACAGAACAATAATATTCCCTCACTGATATTTTTGATCACACTTCAGATCCTCACGTCAGCATGAGAAAATATTGCATTAAAAAGAAAAATACAGTTCCATAGGCAGTTATGGCAATGATTACTGGCAACAATGTATTTTAGTGGAAGTTCACTCATTGTGGGATTTTATGAAGATGTTGTGGCATTAATACAGAACTGGGAAGGCTGCATTGACCTGTCCTCATCAGAAGGCTGTGAGAGCAAAATAAGTAATGAGTGTGATGCATATTTCTATTTACATGAATGTTATTGGTCTGACACCTAGCTTAGATCTGTGTACTTCACTTTGTCACTGGGCAAAGAAGTGAGAAGGTTTGATTTGGGGCTTTACAGTAACTGTAATGTGCTATAAGAATGAGCTTCTCCAAACCCCTGTCCTATCTCTTGAACTTTTAAATGCAAAATACCATGATGTTTCCTCTGAGAAACATCTTTTTTTCTTGACCTACACCATCCATTTCTGCATCTTCTGAGCACTCATTAAACACAGACCTGCGGAGTATGCCTCTCTTTCCACTTTTTTTAATTTCACGGTACATAATAGCAGCATGGCATGGTGCATGCTGGAAAAATACGGAGTTTGTCCTTTCATGTGGGAGGCAGAGCCATGACACTGCACTACAATAAAAAAAAGTGACACAAAACACAAAATGCAAGGCTTTGAAGAAGCAGGAGTGGCACATTGGAAAAATAAACTCTGGTAGATAGAAATAGCATAACACCTGTATTTAGTCAGAAGCATCAGATTAGTTATGTTGATTTTGAATAGTCAAACTTTATTTTTTCTCTCTAAAGATAACAATAGGAATCCATACCGGTGAGGTAGTCACAGGTGTTATAGGCCAAAGGATGCCACGTTACTGTCTCTTTGGAAATACTGTCAATCTAACAAGCAGAACAGAAACTACCGGAGAAAAGGGAAAGATCAACGTCTCTGAATATACTTACAGGTGAGTGATGCAGTATCTTTATTGGTGTTGACATCTTAAAAGAAGTCACATTGTCAGCATAACATCAAAGTGTCTTTGGAGTTGAAAGTGACAGGACTCGTGCAACGCATTATTTAAGTACATGAGTTCTCATGAAACTGTATGGCAGACTGCATTATCATATGCCGTTATCAGTATGCAAATATAATAATGATCTAGAGATAGATTTTACTCTTTTGTTAATTTGCTCACATATCTGTAGCACGTCTAATATTTTATATAGTGTGTGGCATGCATGCATAGTACATACATTTACATGTTTTCTCTTTCAATTTCAGGTGTCTTATGACACCAGAAAATTCAGATCCTCAGTTCCACCTGGAATACAGGGGTCCAGTTTCTATGAAGGGTAAAAAAGAACCAATGCAGGTTTGGTTTTTGTCCAGAAAGAGTACAGAGACAGAGGTATGACTAACCAGAGTGTAATTTTTTTTTTAAACAAGGCATAAACATGACAAATTTAATCTAAACCACTGAGATCTATTTGCATTTGCAAAACTAAATGTTCCCTAGAAAAAATGAAGAGTTTTGTATGACACTATTTCATCAATGCATTTACTATCTTGACAGCACATTAAAGTTCTTGATTATTTGTCTTTGCAGTTTGTGCAGTCCCTGAAAAAATACTTTTGTATTTTAAAAGGTCCTTGAGGGAATGCCAAGTGTTTAAATATTTATATCTCCCTCTTCTTACGGATTTCTCCACTGTTCTAGATTTTGCATTATAATGTAAATTTCTGTTTAGCTGACATGTCTGGTTATCAGCACTTCAAAATTCATCATTTGCTTTCTTACAGTGAGAGAATAAATGTGCCTTCAAATATCTAGGCAACAGTCCAGCAACTACTTGCAGGCAGATTCACACCTGATGTGTATGGTGGTCTGTTAACCCCAGATGGATCTGCTTGTTCAGAGGCTGTTGCATGAGAAAGGTCTTGCTTTAGAAATATACAGCACTAGTGTGCTACAAACTTAGACACTTCATCAGGTAACAGTATGCCAGCTGATTTGCCATAGCTGAGCAGGTGCATACATTCCACCCATTGGCAACAGGGAGAAAAAAAGGGTAAAAGTAATTTGCATAGCTTGAATTTTGCCCTGAGGTAATACAAAAAGAAAGAGTTTTAAGCTAATGTATTGATTCTTAAAAATGCACTTGACTAAAATAATGAAAGTCATCAGTTACCTTGGCTGAAATAATTCTTGTAAGTCACAGGAAATTAATTACATGTCTGAATACTCATGTGCTTCTGAAAATGAAAATTACGCTGGTAAACTGTTTGGGCTCTTTAGGAGATCTAATCCAGAATTTTTACCACTGGTACCCAAGTATATGAATACTGACTTTTTAATGGTAACTGCCAGTGTTAACCCCCAGTATTAAACTTCAGGGGAGAGCCTGTACTTTAACTCTGCTGAAGTCTGTATTTTAGTATATATTACGATAATATTCTGGGTGCCACATTTGATAATACTTTTCTATTTTTATTCTATGTCAAGAGTAACTATAATTTCACATGGCCACCATTCTTTCAAATCTATAGTTGTATTTAAAATATATTTTCATTAAACACCTTTCACTTTTTTCTGCATTATAAATTATGTCCTATCAATTGTAGCAGGGCACATCATTGTAATTTTAAATGTAAAATTTCAGAAGGGTACTGAACGTGGGTATTTTCCTTGTTTCAGCCTCACACATGTTTAATATGAATATAGGGTTCAGATAGTTTAGAATTTTAAACATTGCAATTTCCTTTTAGAGATCTTGTACAACAATTGGTTTTGTTAATCCTCACAGCAGTCCTGAGAGGTACTTGCTGATACTATTATCTGGTAATGGAGCTTTGTAGAGGGGCACATGGGGGCAGGAATAAACCCGACAGAAAAATACTGTCAGCCTGATTTTCAGGAGCACTTAAGACTCACAGTTTAAGCACACTCAAAAAGTCTCTCTAATTTTTGTTAGTTTTTGTTAAGTCTGAAATTCAGATATACATGTAATTTTTATAGATAGAAGGACTTTTCCCATCACAGGTATCTCTTCTAAATTGTAGTAAGTTTGGGAGAATAGGAGACTAGAAAGATACATTCATGTCGTGATTGGAACTGATAATCATTTTGTCAGAGGTGATTTTGAAAAGTGAAAGAATATAATCCTCTAATATTTTAATTATTTTTCACTCCCTGCACAATTTCATTTGTCCATAATAAAAAAATGCACTGAGTTTTACTCCTTTAAGATTTTCTGAACTGTTTGCAGTTTCTCTTTGTCTTGTGAAGGTGCTCTTCATGTTATTTCTGGCACTTTATAGGCTGTACCTAATAGTTGTAATCCAAAAGCGGAAATCAGATAACCAACTTTTATGTTTGATTACCTTAGAGTAATCACTTTGCTTTAGGCAAGGGTGTAGTCTTGGTTTTCTTTTCAGAATCTTACTCTCTCTGACCTTTCAAACACGAACACATGCTAATGGGTTATCATGTGCAGTGCCGTTAATTTCAGGGGGACTGTTCATAACAACAAATACGGCATGTTAACATATATTCAGAAACTATATGGTAAATTTATTGAAAGGTCACTCCAGAATATTGCAAGAAGTGGCTTATAGAAGTAAACATGAAAATATTTCTTAAATCATCCTGAAGATATTTCTGCTGATTATTCTTTTACTGTGAAGTTTTCTACCTCCAATATCTTTAAATCTAGGATAGATTCACATTAGTGATATATTCTCCTTTTCATTATATCCCTTAGAGAGTGATTATCTCAGCATTTGCAAATCTGTCAGCATAATATTTTACCCTGAAGCCCAGTAATTAATATATGGTGAGGAAAGAGGGCAAAATACTTACAGTGGCATAGAGATGTGAAACCAAGGCTTAAAATATGCTGTCTCTCTGCTAGGCCTGTGGAAAATGATAGGGTTGGAGCAGCTCAGCATACCTCAGACTTGGTTCCTAAGTTGGCATCTCTAGTATCAGTCACCATGAGCAGTAGTTACTTCTGAGAAAGACATGATTTACAAGAATCAGTGTTGGTTTGGAGTGCTGCTCCTTTACTTTTTTCCACTTAAAATATCTCTTCTGTGATACCGTAACAGCAAAAACTAGAATTGCATCAGAAATATACATCGAACAAAAGCAACTGTGACCAATTACTCATTTTGCATCCGCTTGTTTGCATGTTATAAGATTAATTATTACTATCATTATTATTTTAACAGAGGTTCAGCTGCAGCTTCTCTCTTGAGAAACAGATTTGTTGTAAAAAATAAAGCTTGCAGAAAGCCTCAGATGTCTGACTGCAGTTTCCATCATTCCCCACTTTCAAATATCTTTCTCTTCTGCCCTGTCCCCACATTACTGATGGGAACAAGTTAAAGTATCTCAGTCAGAGCTAGTAGTTCATCAGTGAATGTAGGAATTGTTACCGTCCTACATACAACACATACGAAAGAAATACCTGTGTTACCTATGCTGTGTTTTATTATTTTTATTATTTACTGATATCAGTTGCAAGTTGTAAAATGTATTTTGTCACTGCATTGACCCACCATGTTGTTGCTTCAAACAAAATCCCTTACTTCTCAAATTCTACTTGCATGCACTCAAGGAAACAAAGCAAGATGCTTTCTGAGCTGAGGAAAGAGGAAGAGGACGCTGAATAGGGTGCAATACTGTCTCCAAATAGTGTGCCAGGCAGTAAGGTTGAGTTATGGCTGTTATTTCATGTCGTATCTCCCATTGCCATGTGCACTACCATTGTCTTTTGCCCTACTCCTGAAATCATACTCACCATTTTTCTCCAGGCTCACCTGCTATTTTTTTTTTTCCTTAATGCTTGGTATTGTTGTATCTCTGCTATGAGCATGTATTTCAAGCTTTCCTTTTTTTGATATGCATTTTTGCACATCAGTCATGTGGCCCTTCCTACCACCAAGATAATACTGAATAAAATTTTGTAGTATGCACACCACAACTAACCACTTCAATCTGATGCTTCACATCTTCATCTTCATCTCTGAAGTATAGTGGTTACGTGAATTAGTGACATTTCTGGAAAGACAGGTATTTCAGTTGTTGGGTGGAACAATGAACCTAAAGAACTATTTTTAAAAATAATACTAAAGCAGCATTATGAAAATTATTGTATAAATGTTGTTGATCAGACTTAGTTCTACTGTTACCATGCTTCCCATTCATTTTGTGAATTAACACTTGATGCACTGTAAATTCCTTGTTAGAAAAACATTCCTCTTTTGATATCATCCTGCATTTTCCCTTTGTAGACACTATGTAAACATTTTCTATATTGAAAGGGGGCAGTTGTTTGTCTGATGCTGCCATTTGAAGCACGTGCCAATGTACTTGTACTGAAATGCTGTTCACTTGCAATGTATTTCTCATTGATTTATATTAACTAAATTAAGTTGTCATGATAATAATAGATTGCTGGACAATTTTAGACCACCTGTAGTGCTTTGATTCTTTTCTGATGGAGCCTCCAGAATTGAAAGGCATGCTGCTGGGACACGCTTGTCATGGTTGCCTTTTGGTTTGGTCTCTCTAATTTTCAGAAATGATCTTACTTTATTCCTTGGGAGGACCTGATAATATTCTAGGCATCATGGCATAATTAAGGGATGTAAAGCTTATAAGGGGACATAATGTCTTTTATCAGCTGATAACAGTTAGTAAAAGTGGACAAGGTTTCAGATGCGTAGACCTTCCATAATTTCAATATAGAGTGCATTTTTATGTGAATAATACCTGTTCTTATCTGACTGATAATTTCTGAATATTTGCATTATAAAATAGGATAGTGCAATTACTTTGTGTATAAGCATTGTCTATATCTAGTATACCTTATCAGCACAGAATATATATGTATAAATGTTTCATGTTAATGTGCAAAAGAAATACAATAAATTATTTTTTCCACTGACTTACAGAAATTTTGGGATTTTCTTTTCGGTGAAAGCTGTATTTCATTGTTCGATAGAAAACAAGTATGTTCTCCATTCCATAATTTGAAGTCCGAGTTTAAATAATTTATCGAGTCATTGTTCTAATGTTTGCAAATAGCCAAGAGCCTCCCACGTTCAGCTTAATGGATCACACCCTCAGATTAAAGTAGTGTTCAAAATGTGTAAATTAATGCTCCAAAAATAGTAGACAAGGTCACAAAAATGCATACATTCCTTTGAAACTCTTGGACAATATTTAACAATCAAAAATTATTAGCTATCCACTTTGAGCAGGATGTACATTACCAGTCAAAGCTTTAGGAATGGGAAATGAGAGAGGAAACCACATACATTCCTTTCCATCATCTCACTGTTGGACAACAATGCATCCCAGCACTCCATGAGAGATTGCCCTTGCTCTAATACACAACAGCAATTTGCGCTTGAAGTTGATCAAGCTTACCAAAACTTGAATGGTGACTCCTAAAGACATGGAATTTGTGATGGCTGTGGTTGTGCATTGACATAATACATGCAAATGGATGTGAAGTAACTGAAGTTTCTGTATTACGCTTCAATCTGATGGAAGATGGCATTCCAGAAAACTCAAATAATGCTCTGAGTTTATATTTTACCTCCTTAATCATTTCAAAGTATTAAAGCTCCTGTTAAGCTACTCTGTAACATAACCAATTTCTTAAAGCACTAGAATAATAGCTCATATTTTGTGTATATATAAGAGCTTTTTATCTCAAGGAAACTAGTACGATTTAGACACTTAACCACTTTTATTACTAAAACTGGTCTTCACTTAAATGCCACATTCAGCTACTAAAATTATACTTTGGTTAAATATTACTCTCAGACAACAGTTAAGAACTTCTGCAGGTATTTAGTTCTTTTATGTGTGCTCTATTGCCTCTTTTATTTAACTATAGTGATTTACTTTTTCAACAGAAGCTCTCTAGCTGAAACATGAGGCAGAGTAATTATCAAAGTCTGTTTCAAAGACGTTTACAAATGCATCTGTTTTATGTTAGTATTTTTTGTGAAAAAGTTGAAACAAGGAGAAGAAAGGGAAAAGCAGCAATGAAATTGCAAATTATGGAATGCTTAGCTGTTTGTAATCTTCTGGATCATGTGCTTTCCTTTGAATTCAGATATACAAAATAATTCGGGTTTCTGTGGTATTATTAGCTAACACTGTGGCCATGCAGGCGACTCTGCTGCTTTACTGCTATCTTAAAGTTGGCACCGCGGTTGGCTTCCATAATGCAAGGCTGAGTAGTCTGATTGTTGCTAGGATTGTTTCTTGGATAATATACTCCCTTTTTTCCTAATACAGGGCTTGAAAAACAGCAGAAGGGCTCTCACTGGCTTCAGTAAATTTTGAAGCAAGCTTATTAAGCGCACACTGTCAATCTGTAGAAGTTACATTATAAAGACTTCCACAACCGATGAGGCCATTTGATAATATGGCCCATATTTTTAGATGCTGATCTTTTCATTGACCTTCCTGTGTGGAATTCTATAAAAACTTGATTTTTAAAAATTTATATGGGTTTACTTTTTTAGCCAAAATATTATCAATTCTAGCACAGTAAGAGGGATCTGTATTTACTTTTTAATCACTTCTCATAGGCTCTGTTGGGATGACAAGTTATGAGCCTTACGCAGTCAATTTTTATTTATGTTTGTATGTCATAAGGTAAAAACTGTAAACCCAGTCCTCAGTGGGAGCAAACTCTGGGAACATAATTTCATATCTGATAATTTTGGGGGAAGAAACAGAATGATAAACAATGAATGAGACACTCATTTGGATATCCATTTACATATTATCACAATTTTTTATTTACAAAAGGAAATTAAAATGTTGTACTACTGTGGTTAGGGAACTAGAAAGGCTTTATAAATAAGAATAGCTTGAAAACTGTCTTGAAACTTCAATAAATGGAAAGGGCACGGGTGGAATACTGCTGTTTTTAACTCCATATATGTTTCTGAAAAGTTACATGTGGGGACAAACAAAACAATAAGCTACACAAGCAGAACTCCATTTTCTTTTAGGAGAGTGTGGGCTTGCAAACTTTGCCATTCTGGCAAACACATCTACAGATGTCATAATTGGGATGTAGTTGGAAAGCGCAAACAAGTCAGCAGCTAGAACAGAAGACTGAATGTCAGGACTGCAGCTCTGATCTTTCTGATTGATATCATGAGCTATTGTACAGCTCATAGTTCAATTCTTTTCCCTCCTGTATCCACCACCAGCTTAGCTGTAATGGTCTTAGAGGTATAGCGTTTCTCCCTTGCCCCCAAATTTGAAGAGTGATGCATTATTCATTGAAGTAGTGGCCTTTATCCTTATTGCTGCGATTTCTGTTGGGACTATCCACTAAGTCCAGCTGAATAGACACTTAAATTTTGCAGGATCTGGGGACTTTTTGTTCACCTTCGCTACAGGTTTGTAGGAACAGGAGGCAGCAGTATGTGTCTTAGACCTGAGAACGGTAATAAAAACTGTTGCACAGGAGGCTGTTAATTCACCCTGCTGCTGTTGGGCTATATTTTGTTTGTTTGTTTGTTTGTTTTTAGAGGAACTACATGTTTTTGTTCTTACCTCACAAAGGCACCATTGGCAGCAATGGTTTATTAGTACCCAGAAAAGTCAATTTAGCTCTTATATACATATATATAATATGTATC